TATGTTTACTTACATTTGGTTATTACACTATCACATTAAAATTGTAATTATACAATTAAGTTATTATACACTTCACTAAACTTTACCAATTTGTTTATCATTAAACATAAACTTATTAACAAGTTCAAGTACTCGGTTTTTATCAAAATTGTCCGTTTATATTACAAGACTTTTTTAAGTAGATGCAGTCCACTCTAATAAGAGAGAACTGATATGTTGTAATCACATTTTGTGTGTGACATGTAATCATGTTTACGAATAAAAATGTCACATATGTACATTAATCATCTAAAAAAGAATATATCAAAACTTTTAAAACCTATTAAGAAATATAATAAAAATAAAATAATATTTACAATTCTCTTCAAGTTTATATAAAAACATATAGCAATATAGTTTTAATTAAAAAATATACCAATTATTAAAATATATTTTTTTTAAATATAAATATGTATATTTTAACATATGTGTTTCTTTGTATATAAATACGTATCTTCATGAAAAACATGTTACAAGTTCAATCGCATATTTTTAACATTGTGATTTTTTATTCTCAATTATTTTTTAATAATATTAAGAAATAAAATATAGTATTGTAATCATAATACCATAATCGTTATAATAACATAAAACATGTACAGTGTGTGACATTTGTTTCCAATTTGTTTATATTATCGCTATTTTTAAGATTCCATTACATTCTGTCCAAGAATGTATAGTTTCAAAATATAAAACAACGTCATAAAAAAAAATAATACTTATAATAGCATTTTAATGAAAACAGCATTAACTCAAAATAGTATTAACTTAATAATAATACACAAAGTAAGAATAATGTCTAAGTTTATGAAATAAATACACCCATGTTAAAATTATCATTTATAAAATTATATTAAAATATTCTCTCACTTTTTCGTATTCTAATAAAAAAATTAAAATTTTAAATATTTTTTAATCAAGAACGCTTTATGTTCATCAATTTTTTATTTAATATGTAAAAAAATATTTTATATCAATCTTACCGAATAACTATAAAAAAATATTAGTCTTCAATTTTATTTTAAAATAAATTCAAGGAATAAAATCTCAAAAAACTCACATAGAGAAATTTTAAAAAATTTAATTTAATTTTTACAAAATTTACCGTCGCGCTAAAAGATTAAAATTGATCAGCGACGTACTTGTGCACCGATCACTCCCGAACAAAAGTAGTACCACATGAGACCGAAATTAGATTTCAGGCTGATGCAGTTTTGGTTTCAAGATATGATATTCCTATTTCCACACTGACAATAAGACACGTTCTGGCTGGACACAAACATTCTCAAGAGTCAAATCCGCACAACAATAACAATATTCGGAATGTCCTCCGATGCAACCAATAGGACCAATTGAACGAGAAACGTAACATACAATGCGACTTCGCCGATGTCGCGGTGACAACTGAAGGCCCGTGTATATAATGCACTGAGGCAAGGCTGAAGAGGCCCCACCAAAGTATTTCCAAGTCGAAGTCGGGAACACCAGGTGTGTCGGAGCGCGTCAAACTGGGGGATTCTACCGGCAGGTGAGAATAACCATCTGATCGCTGGCCAAGGATGATCATTCGACCGGCAAGGGAAACCCGGTGATCCGGGTCCGTTTACATTTCTTGAGCAAACACTTGTGAAAATGAAAAAATAGAATTCGCCGATAATTATAGATACAAATACATTTATATGTATTATAGATACTTATAAAACTATGTCTATATAAAGAAAAGACAGGAAAATTTACTTATCTTCAAATAATTTGTTTATTTCAGACAAGTATAAATAATACTTTTTTTACATTACAGTAGATATTAGGAGTGCTTTTTAAATTATATAAATAGTATTTACAATTGTGTGTGTGTCTTGATATTTAGAATTTTTTTAAATTAAGGAATTGTTGTTTCTAAATGTTAATATATTTATAATTCTTAATTTTATTAGCTCTCACTTTCTCATCAAAAAATGTATTTGTATATTTAAATGGAATTAAGTTGTTTTTTATGAAGACGATAAGCGCGCATGCGAATTTTTAAATGGCTTCTAATAAGCTTTCTAAAAGTTTAGATATATATATATATAATCTATATACAGAGAAATAACATATATGTTTAGCATATTAATTATTTATCAATCTAATATTAATCAAAATTCTTTTTTAAAACTGAGTACCACTGTTGTTACTTTCACGTCACTGGACGATTCAGGTCTGATGAAAGAATTAATGGAAAGTAATAAAAGGGTCAAGAAGAAGGGGAATCTACCCACTGATTCCTGTCTACCTTGAGCGGTTCTCCGTCATTCTATCTTGTCCCTTTCCAAATATTTGTTGCTCGATTCTACACTTGTTACCGTGTTTCAATTTCTTTCTCACGATTGTGACATAATGACGATAATGTTTACAAGATATTCTTCGAACATATTCTATACTTTGTATTGAATCTAGAATCAACTTTTTAATAGAGGGCGGTTCACAGAAAATATTCTGGACACAAATATTCTCACGAATCAAATCCGTACTATTATAACAATAATCGGAACGTAATTATTATTTTGATAAACCATTCATCAAATAAATCCAATAAGTCATGTTTATTCTTTTTTACGAAATTGCTACATACAAGAATTTTTTTCGCTTTTCTTTCTGTTTCCTCATTGCGCTGAATGAGTAATACGTGACACAACGGGCTCCGTCGAAAGGTACTTACATCGTACAGTTTTTTCAACATCGTGTTTCGCAATGAGAGGTTACCGACAAGAGCGAGAATCTTTTTCGCGCGACTCATTAGCGTAGTAAATTAGTAACTGCAGTTCAACGAGCCTTCTGGCAATCCGAGAAACAGAACGACCGAACGAGTACTCACGAATAAAGGAGGAATCCTTTATTCAATGTACAAATGATCACTATTTAAGGATTGAAAATTGGTTTCTGGAGCATTCTAAACAGGTTTTATTTAAAAAAAGACTTCATAGCTCTTCTTTTAGCCAACAGGAAATCCGCGTTAAACAAAATCTCTTTACAAAAGAGGATTAACTTATGACTGACTCCGTCATAATTTAAATCAAATTATATTCACGACATATTGGGAGAAACTTAAGTGCATAGATATATGAAAGCGCATTTATATGAAAGTGATTATTATTAATTTTTTTTATTTATATATATATATATCTATACAGAATTAAATATTAGAAGTTTCTTGCGTGATAAATTGAGTTTTGAAATCCTCAAGAATCATTAAAAATTTCGTATTTAAAGATTTATATTTTGACTCCATAATTTGGTCGGGGAACAAATTGAATATATCCTTAGGGGAAAACCCACAGGAAATGCGTCCTTGTGTTTCGCATACCAAGTCTTTCGATACCGGCGGTTCTTCGAAAGGAAAAAACGAATCCGTTGCGAATACCAGAGGACAAAACCGGTCCCTTGAAATCATCTAACAATAAGAGGAAGATACACATATAAAAATCGTGACTGGCTCAGTCGCAGTAAAGTCCTGTTTTGATCAATGACTACTGCATATGGTTCATTTTTAACGCTGACGCTGATATAATGACACCATATCTGCAAGACGAGACTTTGGATTATCTCATTACTTAATCATGCACATGCGGACTTGCACCGCCGCCGTGAAAATTAACACTTGCGTTAAGATTAAGTATGTAAAAATCTCTTAAAACCACGGTGTCACAGTAACTTTTCACAAAGTTTTAGTCGACCATGTTAATTTTAAATAAATATATATACTTGTGAAAAAAAACCCGTCGCTGTTTTCTATAAAGAGCATCTCCAAATTTTATGTTTTAAAAATTTTAAATTCAAATTGTCCTATTGTGTCTGATTTCTCATATTTATATTAAATTTGTACAGCATATCTTAAGAAAATTACTACGAAAGAAAGAAATCTTTTAAATCAAAAGACAGCTTGTTTTTTATCAAAGGAACTATCAAATTTGAGATAATTTGAGACAATTTTTCTTAATCATATATTTAATATATTTTTATTAAATTCTCATTTATTAAAATATATAGTTCCAACTAATATTTTTTAAAACTTCCTCTAAATATACATTTAACTTTCAATTCAAGCAGATAGATAATTTCAATTATATAATAGTACGTGCATGAGATAATTAATATTATTATATACATACAAGTATAATGTATAATATAAGTGATGACTTATTTAAAAACTATATTACTATGTGTTTTTTATAATAAATAATTAACATGATTAAAATGATAATTTTTTTGTAATTTATGTCGAACCGGATGCGTATTTTATTACATTTTTATCTCAAAATTTCTACACTGAGTTATTTAGTATTAGTGGACATTAATTTTATATGCTAATGAAAAAGAAAAAATATATTAATTAATTCACTATGTAAATTCGCAACATATTTTTAATAACTTTTCTTATTTTTAAAAAGATAATAAACTTTGGATTTGTTGAATATTAAAATTATATAAATTAATTTTGTTAGCACATGAAAAAGTACGATAACCAAATTAAAATCAGAGATATATGTATATATAATTAAATTTGTTGGAAATAATCTTGACAATATATAAGAATAATTTAACATGGTAAAGAAATAGATAATAAATAATAATATAATATAATAATCACAATAACTACAAAGAAATTATATATAATCCTAATTTAATACTTATATAATGCAATTTCTATTATATATATTCTTTTTCATTTAGAAATTATATATTCTAAATCATATGGATTTCATGATGCTCATTCTGAAAGGAATAAAAAAATATTAACACAATGATATTCTAGGGATAACTAAAAAACTAACAGGATTTGTATCTAGTGATAAAGATAAATATCCAGTTGGTAGTATTGTGTAGTATTGTGATGAGTGGTCTACAGTTTGAGGTTTGAGGAACGTATGAAAGTATAGGACGCGTGAAAAATTAAATTTATATTTATATACAGTAATAAAAAAAATGTGTGGTCGAATTTGTTGGTAAATATCGTCTTATCGTTATTTTATTATTAATTATCTTAATTATTGCATGACATAGATAATAGATGAACGAATCAATATATTGTTGCAACTTTTTGATAGATATAGTTACCTTGTAGAAACATGCATTAGTTATCAATTATCAGTATATTAGTTTATAAAATTATATATTGGAAATTCGCACTATAGCTTACGTACTGATACGTATTATGTCAAAGGTTTTTAATTTACGTAAATTTGTAGCGCATTGGACCCTGAGACTTTATGTTGTGCATGTGGATATAAGGATGTCAATGGTAAACAACGTAAATTAACATGGACTAAAACTGAATTAAAATATGATCCATCGTATAATATGTGTCCACGAGATGTCCTGCCTTGTATAACATCTGGTTCACATTTTGAAGGAGAAAAAGAGGAAAGAGTTCTTTGTGCTATGACATGGGGAATGATTCCACCTTGGTATCAGGCAAGTTACAATATTAAATCTATAGACATAACATTTGTTATTTGCAATCTTGTCATTTTACATTTAAGTACAATTAAAATTAATCAATTTTTATAAAATATATTACATGGATGGATAAGTTATTTATATAAACTATTTCATCAATTTTATAGGGGGATTATAAGAAACGTCCAAATAAGATAGCCACTCACAACAGTCGTTTAGAAAACATACATTCCTCAACAGTATATTCTCCATCATTGCAAAAGCAACAAAGATGTATCGTGATTTGTGAAGGTTTCTATGAATGGAAACCTGGTACAGATAACAAAGTTCAGAAACAACCATACTATATATATGCAACTCAAGACAAAGATATAAAAGCAGATGATCCTACAACATGGGGTAATGAATTTTCTGAAACAAATGGATGGAAAGGTTTTAAATTATTAAAATTAGCTGGAATATTTGGAATACATAAAACTGAAGAGGTATTATAGATCAGCTTTTTCCTATCTTATTCCTACAACAATTTTAACAGAACAAAATATATATGTTCAAGATATTATTTAGTTATTATATCTTAGGGGAACATTATATATAGCTGTTCCATTATTACAAGAGAGAGTAATAAGGTATTGTCTTGGCTACATCATCGCATGCCAGTATGTTTAAGCAACGAGGAAGAATGTCAAGTATATTTATATATATATATATATATATATATAAGTAACATAATATAAATATAATATTATTATATAAAATTCGTAGAAAAATATATAAGTTTATCATTAATATCTTAAATAATTTATTTCTAGGTATGGTTAAGTAAAGATTTATTGACAGATGCAGCAATTAAAACGTTAAATGACATGATATTACAAGAAACTGCACTAAACTGGCATCCAGTATCTATGATTGTTAATAATGGATTCAATAAAACTATTGACTGTAGAAAAAAGATAAAACCAAAGTAAGTAGAAACTCGTAAAGCTAAAAGTAAACAATTTTGATTACTATGTAAAATCGAATATCATAAAAGTTTGTATATTGTTGTTTACTATTTACTTGTATTATAACAAAATTAAGTAAATTATTGGTTTATTATTATTATTATTATTGTATAGGGAGATTAGTCAAGCATCTTTTATGGCTTCTTGGCTGCAAAAAGGATCAGCCACTTCAAATAAAAGAAAAAGCACAAATGATAAAGATACATACAACCAAGAAGATAAGAACATCTCAAAAATTCGAAAAGAAAATTAAAATTTATGAGAAACCGTTGATTAAATATCTATATTATACATACATAACAATTTACTTTTCTTTCAATATCAAAGATGTACTATAAGTAATATACCTTATGAAGTGTGTACATATAATTATTAATTTAACTAATTTATAAAATTATATATTTTAATTTTAAAAAATTATTTTTAATATACATATTATCATAGTAACTCAGAAAACAACTACCTCATTAAAAATTACATTATATCATATATTTTTTTAAAAAATGTATTTTGGAAATCAAATATTGTTTTTAGTGAAATATTTTATATCTAAAACTGTACTCATATAATGTTTTGACTCCTTAATTTCTTCAATAATAATAGAATATTTTATCCTATTATTTAGATACACGAAGATATCGAATTTGTAAATTTTTCATCTTTAGACTGAGTTATCCAAAACCTATTACTTTCTTAACTAATTTCATTTATAGCATAAAATATAATTTTGTTTTATAAAAATAATTTATAAATTACCTATTTGTATCATATTAACTTAACTTATATTTTAATATATCCACACACACACACACACATATTAACAACATATAGATAATATTGATAAAATTATTGTTGCATTCGTTTGTCCACGTTTGTCCACCCATTATTTTCATTTGTCCACCCTCCAAAAAAAAGTTATACACAAAAAAATTGTAACACCCCCAAGTGATTATTTTTCATTATTCTGAAAAATATAATAAAAATAGAGGGTACAAACGAAAATAATGGGTGGACATACATGGACAAACGAATGCAACAATGTTTTTATCAAAATTCGCATTTAGGGGTGTCGACTTCACAGAGCAGCTCTTATAGATGTCGGCACCCCTAAATGCGAATTTTGATAAAATCATTGTTGCTTTCGTTTGTCCACGTTTGTCCACCCATTATTTTCATTTGCCCACCCTCCAAAAAAAAGTTATACACAAAAAAATTGTAACACCCCCAAGGGATTATTTTATTGCTTTTGCGTAAAGGCATGGTTCTCATCGGCTATCGCTCGCCGCTTCACCGCTGCGCCGCTCTGTTGCGGGATTCTCTAAACGTTTTATCGATGATTGTCGCTATCGTTAACTAGCGACAGCCAATGGCAGGACAATCCTAAAAGAAAGCGCGGCTCTCATTGGCTGTCGCTAGTTAACGTTAACAACAATTATCAAAAAAACGTTTAGAGAATCCCGCAACTGGTCTGTAGGCTCCTTTAGAAGCATTACAAGAAAAAGGCCTCCATGGCCGCTCTCAGGTTTCTCCCTGGTACGACGATCTTCGAACTAGGGACAGTTCAGTTGGCAGCGCGTGCGCAGTTTCACGCCTCACTGGCCCGGCGCTGCGCCATTTGCGCCGTGAGTTCACGCACTGCGCAGTCATGCGCAGTGTGCGCGCCTTGCCGCAACGGACCATAGGTTACGTGCGTAAGTGCGTGCTTTTCGTAGAATCGCTGCGTGCGCCGTCTTTTTGTGTTCTTCCTATGATTCGATAGTTAAAACTGTGAAAGCCACTATTCATTAACGAGGGGGAATTGGCATATTGCACGTTCTGGTGACGAGGAGTCCAGTGTCAGGAAAGCGAGAGAGTCGATTGTGTACGCGTGTGAGCCCAGCCTCCTCTCGCGAGTGCGTGCGTGCTTGCTTGCTTGGCGTGCGTCGTACGTGTGTATTTCATATTTCTGCTAGTTAAGATCGAAAAAGCGGCGAGCTGACGTCAGGATGACCAGCAGCGAAGAGACGGACAGTAGCGTGAAGAATGTTGAAACCGTGTTCCACGAGATCAACTCCCAGAACAATTGGGCGTCTTTCTATCAGGTGAGATGAGAGAGGAAGAATGAGGGTGAAGGAAGGAAAGAAGAAAGTAACGGAAGGGGCGCGGGCGAGGGAGAAACGGCTCTTCCGCTCAGCAATGGCTCTTCCGCTTGCTATTTCCGCGTTTTTAAAATTTTTGTTCATGCTGCTCCGAGTCCCGGCTGATCCCACGTCTTGCCGGCTCCTCGTCATGTACCTTTTCTTTTCCACGCACCTCTCTTTCCATCTTCTGTCTATGGTCTTTTCATCTCGCGTCCCGCGTTATCTCGCTCTCTCGGAATCTCTTTTTCGCAGCCACCGTTTTCGCATTGTCGTTAAATGCTTCGGCGTGCCGCGTGTCACGTCTGTCACGGTCTGTCAAGAATGTTAAACTCGACTGAAAAATGGAATACCGTCTTAAATTCCGGCACGCTTCGTCATCGAGATTCACGGACATCGCCGGCTCGAACCTCTAGATTCTTTTATTGACTTTATTTATATACACGAGCGGTGATAACGTCTGATAAAAGCGGGACGTGAATGTAGTATACACGCGGAGACATAAAAATTCTTTTCTTGTAAATAGAGATCCGATTCGCAAATTGTCTCGCGACTACAAAGCGACTTTTGTCACGCTACGAGGATATGTTTGGAGCGTTTCTTTATATGCTACGCGGTCGATAGTAGCTCATGATATTCCGTGCTTCAACACAGACAGACAAACAGACAATAGGCAGTAAATACTGTTCGATGTCGACACGCGGATTCGTCGAACGTGATACGGCTTCTGCGTTATTGCTGATGCTATCGAAGATTGAGCAACGCTGAGAAAAACACGAGTCCGTACGGATTTGATTTAAACTGAGGGAAGAAAGTGATTTCGTGATTGTCGAGAATCGAGATGATGATGCACTACGATGTTATGACACGCGAGTGTAAAGTCAGATTTCCAACTTGGAAATACATATTTAGAATAATTTCTACGAAGCGTAAAAAAAATTTAACTACGATACGCTTGAACGCTTAGAATTTTTCTGACAAGATCGTATTCTTGTTAATTGAGGTTTTTTTCACGCTACCTACCATGAATAAATTTTGTTTTATTTTTTATGTATGTTGGTATAATTTTATCAAGATCTTGGCTTTTACAATAATCATTACTAATTTATTATAGAACGTGTAGTAAAAGGCTACAATTTCTTGAAACTTATTGCACATACTCAAATACTTTGATTTATATAATCCATATGTATATTTCGTAATAATTTGATCTTCTATTTAGAAATATTTAATGAAATGTTTATTATGAATTTCTTTATCAGACTTGATTTGTAATTATATATATATTAAAGAGAGAGAGAGAGAGAGAGAGAGAGAGAGAGAGAGAGAGAGAGAGA